GCCGACTGCCAGCACCGATGGCTACAGTTCGCACATGGTCCTCACCTGCTCACACAGAAATCCGCGGATCACTGAGGACAAGGGGACCGGGCGGCTGGTTTCAACACAGACTTGAGCTCCAGAGATGCTTTTTTGTCCGGGAAAAAAAAGGGTGGGGGCACAAAGATTGCTTTACAGGCCCTTCCCGGGGGAATACAGTTGTTGGGCAGAAAGACCACCTGTTCAACTTTTGGTTTTGTGTTCACTGATTTAGGCTGTACTGTGGGCAGACGCCCCCTGGTGGACTTGACTGGATTCTACAGCCAAGAGGAAGCAAGCAGCTTTCTGCTGGCGCATTTGACTTGCAGAAGAACTCAGGTGGCTGGATAGAGATTGTATGTGACTCCCTGGAAACGGGTTTATCACTTAGGGCTGAATTGTAAATAATTTCCACAGTAAATTCAAGACTTTAGAGATTTTAAGGCCCTAGAGCAGGGTTTCCAAGGTCAGCACTCTTAACATTGGGATGGGATAATTTTTTATGGTGGGTCTGGGCTGGGCATAGAATATTGGACAGCATCCCTGACCACTACCCTCCAGATGTCAGGAGACCGGCCTCTCCCTCCTAATTTGTGTGAATTAAAGTGTCTCCAGACACTATCAGACGTGGGGGAGGGGTGGAGAGAGGAGCACAGGCCTCCAGGTGGGTGATGGAGGGGACTGACTGTCTGAGGAGGGGCTGGCCCGGTGCTGAGTAGGAGGAAACAGCAGCTGCAGGCTGGCCCTAGGGAACAGCTGAGCCCCAGGGGAGGGAACAGGGCTCAGGGAGGGATGGAGGGGCTCTGAGCCCTGACAGAGATGCCTGGGGTCCAAGCCCCTCTCCTGGGTCAGAGGGAACCTGGGCCCCTGTCACTGACCCAGGTCTGTCCCTCAGGAGGGCTGTGGTGGGCAGAGCTGAGAAGAGAGCCATCACTGCCCAGGGTGGGACCTCGACTTCTCACCACCCTGTGGGCCTCCAGCAACACCTGCTGCTTCCTGGGGTCCTGGTCTCCCTGGCTGTGCTGAGAGCTGGACATGGAGGGACTGAGGTGGCTGCGGTGGGCGGGGCTACTGGTCCTGGCCTCTAGGGTCCAGGGGTTTTAATTTATGCACAGTTCTAGTAAGTCCTAGATATATTGGACCTCAATTTAATGGATTTCTGATTTAACGGACAAACTTTCTGGTCCGTATGACATATATAAAAATTAACATTCTACTCATTTTTTAAAAAATATATTTTATTGATTTTTTACAGAGAGGAAGGGAGAGGAATAGAAAGCTAGAAACATTGATGAGAGAGAAACATCCATCAGCTGCCTCCTGCACACCCGCTACTGGGGATGTGCCCGCAACCAAGATACATGCCATTGACTGGAATCCAACCTGTGACCTTTCAGTCCTCAGACCAACACTCTATCCACTGAGCCAAACCGGTTTCAGCGCCCTGTTCATTTTTAAATGCTTTCAACCAAGATTTGCTTACAATTAAATCAACAGGTTAAGTTTTGTTATTAATTCGCTGTTATTTTTAAACAAATTTTAGCGAATAGGCCATATGCTGAGAAAAACCACTGCAGTAATTACATGATTAACTATTCCATACCTACAATTATAGTCTGCATATTTAAACCCAAGAGTCCCTGCTGGAAAACAATATCCGGGAATGACTGACAGGTGATCACACTGCATTGTGGGTATAAGAATTTGTTCTGTTATCCTGTGGTGTGACTTTCTGCAGCATTTTGGGGGGTTTTGATCTTTATTGTGGGAAGTAATATTACAGATGTCCCCTCTTTCCTCAACCCCACCCTGCCCCTGCCCAGGCCCTCACCACACTACATCTGTGTCCCTGGGTTATACACGTCTGCTTGCCTGTCCTTTGGTTAATCTCCTCACACCCACCCGCCTAGCCCTGCCTTCGCTGAAGCAGTTTAATGCCTGCTGGCTGCAGTTCCCAGGGCAGCTCAGTCACGCCCCAGCCTGTGCGTTAGTGAAAATTCCCAGGGAGCTGAAGGTATTACGATCAGTGAAATAAGTCAGAGAAAGACAAATATGACATGTTTTCCATATGTAGAATATAGAGAACAGAATGGGAGGGGATTGATAATTCTCAGGGGGAAAGGAGTGTCTGTGTGGGGGGTATGGGAAGAGACTGAACCAAAATCATATACCTATGGATGAGGACAGTGGAAGAAGAGGTAAGGGCAGAGAGTGGAGTGGGTACCAGGTGGAGGGAAGCTATGGGAGGAGGGAGGAAAAGATGAAACAATTGTAATAATCTGAACAATAAAGATTTATTAAAAATAAAAAAGAAAGAAAATACATATAGATAGTGCTTTGCATTTGTATACTGTAAATATAAATGTCGATTTGTTGGAAAAAATAAATAAATAAATAAATAAATAAATAAATAAATAAATAAATAAATGAAAATACATATAGAATATAGAGAACAACATAAATGAACAACATCTTGCCCAGTTGGTATGGCTCAGTGGTTGAGCATTGACCTATGAACCAGAAGGCCACAGTTCTATTCCTGGTCAGGGAACATACTAAGATTGTGGGCTCGATCCCCAGTGTGGGGCATGCAGGAGGCAGCCAAATGATGAATGATATTCTCTCACCATTGTTTCTAACTCTCTCTCCCTCTCTTGTCCTCCTTGAAATCAATAAAAATTTATTTAAAAATCAACAATGGAAACAGACTCAAATATACAGAATACAAACTGATGGCTGCTAGTTAGGATGGGAATTGCTTAAAAAGGAGAATAAATTAAGAAATGCAAATTAGTAGCTATTAAGTGGTCATAGTTATAATGTACAGCATAGGAAATAGAGCCAATAATATTGTAATAACTATGTATGATGCCAGGTGGGTATTAGACTTATTGAGGGGATCACTTCTTAAATTATATAAATGTTTAACCACTGTGTAATATACCTGAAACTATTATAAACTAATATTGAATGTAAATATATATATATATATATAAATTATGTTAAGTGGCTGAAAAGAACCTAAAGTGAATGAGCCCTTGGCTCAATGAATAGAGTGTCGACCTTCGGACTGAAGGATCCCAGATTTGATTCTGGTCAAGGGCACATGCCCGGGTTGCTGACTCAGTCCCCAGTAGGGAGCATGCAGGATGCAGCTGATTAATGATTCTCTCTCATCATTGATGTTTCTCTCTCTCTCCCTTCCTCTCTGAAATCAATAAAGAAATATATATATATTTCAAAGGCATTGGAGAAGACAAAGATCAAATAAGCAAGAATATGGTGTAAACATAAGTATGATAGACATCGACAGAGCACCATTTTGTAAATGTTAAAAGAACTCTCACATCAAATCAGAATTCTATATCCAAAAACAATATTGCCCAAAATAAAGATGTGTTAAGGAACACTTAAAGTGCAACACTTGCTAGCCAATTTTAATTAGAAAAAAATATTAAGTCCAAAAGAAAATAATCCCAGATTAATAACCAAGAATGTAGAAAGAAATGAAGAGGGAAGGAAAAGAGAATTTATAAGTAAATAAAAATCAATTTAGTTCTATGAAGCAATTTTTGAAATCTCTCATGAAGATGAAAGTATATGAAGAATTAAAATGCATGACAACAGTAATGCAAATGTCAGGAAGCTTAAAAATAGACTTGAAGGGGTTCTAAGGTTTTAGATTTGGGGCAGTGGGAAAAGTAATTAACTGTGAATAGTATTTAATTAAAGGACAGATGATTTAATCATTAATGTAATGACACGAAGATTTGTACACAATTGCAACTAACAAGTTAATAGATGGAACAGTGGAATAAAATAGTTAAATCAATGTCAGTGAAGTAGAAAGTAAAGAAATATTATTTAATGAGATCAAAGGGAAGGAAAAGAGTAAGAGGGTTGAGTAATATCAAATTAATCAGTAATTACGTAAAAGACAAATGTACAGAATATTAGATTACATTTTTGTTGTTGATGTTAATCCTCACCCACTGCTATATTTATTCCATTTATTTTTTTAAGAGAGAATAGAAGGGAGCGGGGAGAGAAGAGAGAGAGAGAGAGAGAGAGAGAGAGAGAGAGAGAGAGAGAGAGAGAGAGAATCACAATAAGACACCTTGATTACTTGCCTCAAACACAACACCAACAGTGGCCAAAGATCAACCCTGCTACCCAGGTGTGTACTCTTAAGTGGATTAGAACCCTCCACCCTCAGCCTGAGGGCTGATACTCTATAACCCAGGAGTAAAACTGGATTAGAGCTATTGGCTTACTACAAATGGCTGTATCATGCATTATATAGAATTATTAATAAGAATTTTGGGTATTCTCTTAATAAACATTTACATAGTCTCTATGCTTTTCTATTAAGATATAAACTGCATCATGGAAATTTTTGTGCATAGAAACTTCCATGCCTGTTCTTTTTCTTTTTAAACACATAGGAATTGTTTTATTAATTTTCTCGAATATATTTTTATTGATTTCAGAGAAAAAAAAAGAGTGGGAGTGAGAGATAGAAACAGCAGTGATGAGAGAGAATCATTGATTGGCCACTGCCTCCTGCTCATCCCAGCTTGTCCACTGGGGATTGAGCCTGAAATCCAACCATGACCTCCTGGATCCTAGGTTGACCCTCAACCACTGAGCGATACCGGCCAGGTCCACTCTGTTCTTATGGAATGTAGCCAGAGAGGGTCTTAAAATCATTCAAATGTTGACAGGAACTGCAAATCACAACCCTTCCACAAGTGGATTACTTTCTGAAAACAGAAACAGAGTAGAACAGTGTCAATAATCCCATCTTTTTGTGTTTTTGTAAAAAGATTTAGGAACGAGGTGGATATGAGACAGGATTACCTACTGATGGGGTTATCCCATCCGCCATAAAAGGGGACTCAGAGGAGAAAGCCACTGCAGTTTGGAGCAAGTCACAGGCTGTCTGCATGTCAGGAGTGGCCCAGCAACACAGCTCAGCAGCCATGGGGGAGCCTGGGTCAATCACGGAGACAAACCAGCCTTCTCTGGTGAGTACAGATTCCCTATCAGCAGCCAGACCATCCATTGTATACTTTTCCTTTTGTGAAACCTTGGGAACTAGTAGACTGTTGCTCTTAAATCAAGAAAGTGTCTTCCTCAACGCCATTTCTTAGGTGTTAATGTTAAGTAATGCTCAAAGTGTTGTACTTTTTAGTACATAAATAAAGCTTTCTTGGGTTAATAGGCCTGAAGTTTTTGTTCTGTTTTTGGCTTTGTATTTTATTGATTAGTTGTTTTTGTTTTTTCTTGATAGAGAATTGAAAGGAAGGGAAGGGAGGGGGAGGGAGGGGAAAAAAAGGGGAAGGAGGGGAAAGGAGGGGAAGGGAGGAGAGGGGAGGGGAAGGGAGGGGAGAGTGAGAGTGAGATCTCCCATTGTAGGGTTGAACCCACAACCAAGATATGTGTCCTGACCAGGAATGGAACACACAAACTTTGGTGAATAAGACCATGCTCCAGCAACTGAGCCACGCAAGCCAAGTGGTTCTGCTTTGTATTTTGTGTTGTTATTTTTTAAATTATATATAGATACAGTATCGTCCTGTAGACCAGGTTCAATGCTCATCAAAGATAGTTCAGTTACCTTCCAGGGCATGTACCTCAGTTGCAGCTTCTACCTGATCAGGGCCCTGGTCAAGGCTCATGCAGGAGGCAACCACTGATGTGCTTCTCTCGCATATTTATTTCTCTCTTGCCTTTCCCTCTCTTTCACTCTTTCTAAAAATCAATGGAAAAATATCCTCAGGTGAGGATTAAAAAAATAAAATTCAGTCCTGTAATCAGGTATGCCATCAGTTAGCTTTTCCTTAATCTCTTTGGCATCAATAATTGTAGTTCATGTCTTTCTTTTTCCCTCCTAACCGCTCATCCTCCATCCATCCTCTCCTCACAGTCTCTGTCCTGGCCTGACTATTTCTCACATCACTTACTTATACCTAAACACCATGTCAGACATGCATTAGTCCAGAAAGGCACTGGCTTACACAGGATATTAGCACCAACAAGTGACTCTAGGGGACCCTGAGTTAGTGCTGAATTGTTTGGGGGAGGGGTGACACATGGTCTCTTGAGTTGAGTCCCAGATACTGATAATAATGGGTTGAGTGGGCAGATGGCTATCTGAGCCTCAGGGTTGAAGGTAGATTACACTGATTCCATGGGCATATCTAGTTCATTAATGCTTTTTTTGTACCCAAAGGAATGAATGGGATGGCCCAGAAAGGGTGTGGATGTAGAACAAATGTGAGAGCAGGACTGACTTCTAAGAAGCATTGCTTGTGTTAAATCACATTAAAGGACGGAGATTAACAGGGAGGAGTAGGAGGAGCGAAGGAGGGTTAGGCAGGTTTTTTACTGTGGAGGTCTGTGCAAAAAAAAAGAAACTGATGAAAAGATATTTCTGAGTTACAATAAACCCTCAATATAACAGATTAATTTGGGCAAGGGGAGGGGAGTGTCGATAAAGCTGAAAGTCTCTTCTATAATAAAGTAGGCTATCCCAATGAATGTTAAAAAAAAAAAAAAATGACAAACCTGGGACGATGTGGCTCATTGGCTGAGCATTTACCCATGAACCAGGAAATCACAGTTAAAATCACAGTCAGGGCATATGCCCACGTTGGAGGCTCAGGGATCCACCATAGCAGGCTCAAAAGAGGCAGCTGATTAATGATTCTCATCATTGGTGTTTCTTTTTTTTTGTTTGTTTGTTTTTAATCAATCTTTATTGTTCATATTATTACAAAGGTTCTTCATTTCTTCCCTCCTCCACCAGGTTCCCACCCCACCTTCCGCCCCCTTCATCATTGGTGTTTCTATCTCTCCCTCTTTCTTCCTCTTTGATATGAACAAGAACATGTTTTTGTTTTTGGTTTTTTTAAAGAAACATTTGACCCTTGCCAATTTGGCTCAATGGATAGGGTATTTGTCTGTGGACTGAAGGGTTCCAGGTTTGATTCCCGTCAAAGGCACATGCCCAGGTTTCAGGCTCCATCATTGATGTGTCTATCTCTCCTTGTCCCTTCCTCTCCGGAATAAATAAAATATATTTAATATCTTTTTTTTATAAAAAAAAGAAACATTTAACAAATTAGCCCTCCTATTTTCACCTATGTAGACCCATTTGTGTAATTAAAATTAAGTGTTCATAAATGTTTAATTTCACAGAAAACTTTTCTATTATATTACAGCACTTTTAAATATATGCTGAATAGATCTAGTACATGAATGTCACCTCAAGCGTTGGCCTGCAAGCATTAAAACTGCTGCAGAAAGTCACTCCAGGGTCCTATAGCCCAATTATTTCCCATGATGCAGTGTGATCACATGCTGATCATTCTTTGAACACTGTTGACCAGCAGTGACTTTTGGATTGAAATATGAAGACTATAGTTGTAGACATGTAATACTTATTTATGTTAGTAACATTGCTACAGTGGTTTTTCCAACCTTTGGCCTATTTGCTGAAATTTGTTCAAAGTAACAGTGGCTCAGTCTGCACAGCTCAGTAGTTGAGCATCAATCTATGAACCAGGAAGTCACGGTTCAATTCTCAGTTGAGCATATGCCTGGGTTGTGGGTTTGATCCCTACTGTGGGGCATGTAGGAGGCAGACAGTTAATGATTCTCTCATTATTGATGTTTCTATCTCATTCTACCTTCCACTCAAGTCAATAATGAAAATTATTTAAAAGAAACTGAATTAATAATAAAATATAACCTGTTGATATAATTATAAGCAAATCTTGGGGGAAAGCATTTTAAAATGAACAGCATGTTAAATATTCATGTATGACATATGGACTGGGAATTTTGTCCATTAAATACTAAGTCTGTTAAATCATGGTCCAAAAATTGAGGGTTTACTGTACTTATGAACCAAAAAAATATCTGAGTAAAGAAGGGACTAGGGTGTGCAAGTGAACGTGGGTATTGGGGGGTTGAAAGTCTAATCCAGTGAAGTCCTTAGACTCTTATGCACCATTAGAGGATATCAGCATCTGTGGAGTGGACATTGACAAACAAAGAAAGAGGGAACCATCTTCAGAGGCAGTTGGTGGAGGAAATGGTCTGGAATTGAAACAGGATAATGACCTTGATTCTTCTGTTCTTGGCTCATATCAGCTTGAGGTCCCAGGATCTCGCTGTTAATGTGCGGTGCCTGTGCTCGCAGCATCAGCATCTGGGAACACTGAGAGATATAAATTCTTGGCCTCGTCCCAGTCCTACTTGGGTTGAGGTCCACAAAACTGAGTTTCAACCACTTTCCAGATAGACTGCGATGAGCAGACACACTTCTCCAGAAAGAGAGGAGGATGGGGAGTCCAAATGCAATGGAAATACTTACCTCCCACTTTACTCAAACTTGACATTTCATTTTGTTTCCAAAGGGAAGGCTCCGGAGAAGCATCATGCCCCAGACTTTAGCAAAGAAGAGACAACTGGTTGTGGCCATGAGCAAGCGGAGACGTCAGGAAAGGACTGAACATCCAAAGAGGCTCACCAGCTGCATTTTTAAAAGTCCAGTCACCAAGGCCACTGCCCATCCTGACAACCAGGTCTGGCGCAGGCGGCAGGAGGGGAACATGGAGAAGCCGCAGCAGAGGAGTGCCTACAGGAGGCTGCAGGGGCTCCAGGCCTGCAGCAGTGAAGGGGAACCTATAAATACTGTGGATATGACAGATGTGATGAGAATAAGTGCACCAACAACGAAGGGTGAACCCCTGGGCCGGGCTGGTCCTGGCTCTCTCCACAGCAGCCCCCAGCCCAGCGCAGCACAGTTGTTACATTGGGCAGAGATGATTCCAGGACCGGGCCTCTGTGGCCCACAGCTTCTGGGCATCCAACCGGTCACCCGTGGAAACATCCAGAAACAGAATAACAGAGTGAAGAGAGCAAGAGAGAGACTGGCTGCAGCTTTGAGAGAAGACAAGCTGGCCAGGGAGGCAGAGAGCCAGGAGTCAAAGAGAATGTTTTGATTTCATACAAATCTGATTTCATTGAACTTGCTATTATATCTCATCCTAACATAAAATATATCTAGGTTTTAATTTATTATTCTTGTTATTTTGGTCAAACCTCAGCTGAAGATATTTTTTATTTTGGCCAAATTCTAATTTATACTTAAGACATCTACACTAAAAAAAGAGAAAAATGCTAATTGACCATACCTTCACTATGCCTGCAGCCAATCAGGAGTGATATAGAAATTAAGCCAACAAAGGTAGAGGACAATTTGCATATGCAGGGGGGAAGGGCTGTGTCTGACACTGCTGCAGGGTCCAGTCCACCATGGGGGACTGGGCAGGCCAGGCGGGCAGCTCCTAACACCACCAGCTGGGTCAAGGTCGCCATTGGTAACCAGGCAGGCAGGGATGGGGGTTGGAGGCAGCACCTGACACCACCTTCAGGGTGCAGGCCAGGCAGGTTGAGCCTGACACTACCTGCTGGGTCAGGCCACCATTGGGGGCCCAGGTAGGCAGGGTTAGCCAGGGTCTCTGGGATCAGTCTGCCCTGGGCCACCTGTGGACACCAGTGGAGCAGGATGGGGTTGAACATTTTAATGAAAATGGGATGCCTGTGCCCCAGCCCACCAGGCCCAGACCCTGGCGAGGAGAGGGCAGTTAGCAGGCACCAGGGCTTGGAAGGGACTGGCAGCAACCTGCAGGCATGCTACCAGGAAGAGGAGCTGAACCATGATGATGCAGAGGGCTGGCTGATAGAGGCGTGAAAAGGTGCAGACGAAGCGGCTCTTACTGGCTCTGAGCTGGACAGCCTGATGGACTAAATCGCCTTTCTGAAGAAGGTGCATGAAGAGGAGATCGCTGAGCTGCAGGCGCAGATCCAGTACGCTCAGATCTCTGTGGAGATGGACATGTTCTCCAAGTCCAACCTCTCTGCAGCACTCAAGGACATTAATGTCCAGTAAGAGAAGCTGGCTGCCAAGGACATGCAGAATGTAGAATGGTACAAGAGCTGCTCACCATGCTGACCAAGAGCACTGCCAAGAATACCTACGAGGTGTGCGCTGCATGGAGATCAAAGCATGCTGGCGCATGAACTAAGCTCTGGGAATATAACATTCTGAGGTGACTCGGGCTGGACATTAAATGTTGTGCTATGACTTTTCTCCTTATGCAGAGTATCTGTTTGCTTGCAGAATGGATTCCTGGCTTGCTGCCAGCCTGGGCATGGTACATGCTTATGAGTTCAGGATGTATGACAATGTGAATAATTCAGATGTTTACAATAAAAACACATGAATACATGAATTCACTGATGTTAATGTTAAACTTCATGGAAAAAATAGTCCTTTGAATCTTTGATGGTTAGAAATTAAAGACCTCAACTCATGTGCAACAGTAAATAAAGTTACACTGAATGACAAAAAAAAAAAAAAATACATTAAGGGCCAGGAAACGTTCAAAGAACTGGGGAACCATTCCCAAATCAGGAAGGGAAGTCACAGGGTGTATATTGCTATGAATACAGTAGTTTCTACTACTTACAACATATATAATGTAATGTATTAGATGCCTTCCTATTGCATGAAATATGTATTCTCATAGAGTAATACTGGTACATATGTTATAGTTATGGCAGAATGTCATATCCTATCTATATTAATAAAAGGGTAATATGCTAATTAAACCATGAGATCTTCCAGAAGTCCTTCCAGGTGGCAGGGCCCAGACAGAGGCAATAAGGGGTGATTAGACCAGGAGGGGAAGGCATTTGGGGATGATCAGGCCAGGAGGGGAGGGCTGTTGGGGGTGATCAGGCAGGCGGGCAGAGAGGACCAGTTGGGATTGAGCAGGATGACACGGGGTGCAATTGGGGGTAATCAGGCCAGCATGCAGAGTGGTTAGGGGTGATCAAGTAGGCAGGCAGGTGAGCAGTTAAGAACCAGCAGTCCCAGATTGCAAGGGGGTAGTCTGACTGCTAGTTTAGGCCCAATCCCACAAGGGTCTCAGATTTTAAAGGATGCAGGTCAGACTGAGAGACACCCTCCCCCAGCGCATGAATTTCATGCAGTGGGCTACTAGTCTATATATATAAAAGGCTATTATGCAAAGTGTCTCCTCAGGAATTGGACTGGGAGAACAAGAGTTAGATCACTCACTATGATGTGCACTGACCACCATGGGATGGTGCAGAGCATGGCAGGCTACCAGCAGGAGGCTGGGAAGAGGGAAGCCACAGGATAGTGGAATCCAGTTGGTGAGCGAAGGAGGAGGGTGAGAGGCAGGGAACCTGATCAGTCCTCATCAGTGGCCAGAACTAGGGACCTACCAGTGCACAAATTTCATGCACAGAGCCTCTAGTTATAATAAAATTTAATTAGTGTTTATACTAATTACATCCTTATCTGTCACTAAAAACTACCTTAGTGACATGCTTAGAGTGAACTTTAGATTCTTTTTTTTTTTAAATATATTTTATTGATTTTATACCGAGAAGAAGGGAGAGAGAGAGTTAGAAACATCGATGAGAGAGAGTCATTGATCAGCTGCCTCTTGCACATCCCCTACTGGGGATATGCCCGCAACCAAGGTACATACCCTTGACCGGAATCGAACCCAGGACCCTTCAGTCCCCAAGCCAACGCTCTATCCATTGAGCCAAACCGGTCCCGGTGAACCTTAGATTCTTAAGAAGGAAATGTCTGGAACCATTTTACATGGAGGAACCACCTTGGCCTGAAACTAGATCCTAAGTCAAGAAACTTGTTCACCTGCTCACAGCATCAGGGACATTTTAATCTTTCCATCAACACCCCTTATAACAGTATAAATTCCAGCAGCAAAAAATAAGAAAATAAATAAATAAATAGATAAATAAATAAATAAATAAATAAATTCTAGCAACAAAAAAAAATCACAGCAGAGTTGATCTGAACACTGCCATGTAACAACAAAATTCAATTATAAAGTTGTGATTAGTGATTAAAATCTATGAATAAAATCTATGCCTTAAAATTTTTAAGCATTGGAATACTTCATATAGTCACAGCAGAATACACAGGTTTTTTTCAAGTTCACATGGGAATCTTCAAGACTGAACATATCCTGGCATATTAAATACACATTATTTTTTTCGCGATGCAATAGCAGAAAGCCGGTATTCCATGCAAGCATGGGATTATATACACTTTAAACACATTTGAAAGAACAGAAGTTATAAAATGCTCACACCAGGCATTAATCTAGATAGCAATAGCAAAAGAGTGGAAAACATTCGTGTATGTGAATATTCAACAATGCACTTCTAAATAATACATTGTGTAAATGACATTTTACGGGAAATATGAAACATGCTCAAAAATTATTCAAAAGTTGAGAATGTTTACATGGATTCCAAAGAGTGGATGGATGGTACTCAGATATCATGTAATCTGTTAGTACTTCCCTAATCCCTTTGTCATCAATACTTGCAGCTACTTTCTTTCTTTATCCCTTCAAACCTCTTATCCTCTATCCTTCCTTCTTTTAGTGAGGATTACACAGGAATCAAAGAAAACATCTCAAGAGAAATTTTTAAAAAAATTATTTGACTTAAGCAAAATAAAATTATAACTTCTCAAATATTGTGAGTTGTAGCAAATGTAATACCTAGAGGAAAATTTATGCCATTGGACAAATACACTAGAAAAAAGAAAAAGACCAAATTATGTAGGCATTTATTTTAGACAAAGTTCATTAAACTCAAAACTAGCCATCTAGCCGGTGTCACTCAGTTGGTAGAGTTTTGTCCCATGCACCAAGAGGTTGTCAGTTTGATTCCCTACCAGGTCACATGTCCAGGTTGTGGGCTCAGTTCCTGAGTCAGAGACAGCCAATCCATGTTTCTCATCGATGTTTCTCTTTCTCCCACTTTTTCTTTCTCTAAAAAGTCAATAAAACATAATTTTTGAAAAGCAAGCAGAATTAAATAATAAAAATTGGAAATCAATATAATTGTGGGAAATAAAGAGAAATTTTAAAAAGCTGTTTTTGGACAAGATTAATAAAATTTATAAACATTTAGTAAGCAGTATAACTAAGAAAAGAGGAGAAAGAAATTACATCATAGAGTTACTCAATGGGTAACTCTATTGTAAGGTCTATAGTTAAGGAGTCTCTGAGGATACTCCAGGTGCCTGCTGTATGCTAATATATCTCATTCTAATATAAATTGCATTGTTGTTTAATTTTATTTTTGTTAAACCTCATCTGATTTTTACAGAGAGAAGTAGAGAGTTAGAAACAGAGTTAGAAACATCTATGAGAGGGAAACACAGATCATCTGCTGCTGCATGCCTTCTACTGGGGATTGAACACACAACCAACATACATGCCCTTTACTATTATAGAACTGAACCCAGAACCCTTCAGTCTGCCGATTGATGCTCTATCCACTGAGCAAACCCAGTTAGGCCCCATTGATTATTTTAGAGAGAATGGAAGGAAGGGAGAGAGAGAGAGAGAGAGAGAGAGAGAGAGAGAGAGAGAGAGAGAGAGAGAGAGAGAGAGAGAGAAACATCAACTGACTGCCTGCTGCACACTCCCTACTGGGTATGTGCCTGCAACCAAGGTACATGCCCTTGACTGGAATCAAACCTGGGACCCTTGAGTCCACAGGCCGACACTCTATCCACTGAGCCAAACCAGATAGGGCTCTTTTTTTTTTTTTTCTTGATTCTTTTACAGAGAGGAAGGGAGAGGAATAGAGAGTTAGAAACATCAATGAAAAACATCGATCAGCTGCCTCCTGCACACCTCCTACTGGGGATGTGCCCCACAACCAAGCTATATGTCCTTGACCAAAATCAAACCTGGGACCCTTCAGTCTGCAGGCCGACACTCTATCCACTGAGCCAAACCAGTTAGGACTAACTTTAGATTCTTATGAAGGAAATGTCTGGGAACACTTAACATGGAGAGAAATATAGCTGCTGCCTCATTGTCTTGGCCCTGATACTAGGTCCAGAGTCAAGAAA